TCCCAAAGCCCTTATCCCTAGGTAGCACCAGAAACTGTGGTTTCCCTAAATTCCCAAACCCCTTTTCCCTAGGTAAACCAGGAATTGCGGTTTAGGCTAGCCCCGGGAATTGTGGTTTAGGGTAGGCTTCAACCCTATATTCCCTTACCCCTTATCCCTAGGTAGCCCCACGAATTGTGGTTTAGGGTGAGTTTCAACCCTCAATTCCCTAACCCCTTTTCCCTAGGTAGCCCCCGGAATTGTGGTTTAGGATGGGCTTCAACACTAGATTCCCTTACCCCTTTCCTCAGGGAGCCCGAAGAATCATGGTTTGGGTTTGAGGGCTTCCCTGAATTCCCCAACCTCTTTTCCCTAGGTAGCCCCAAGAACCGTGATTTGGGTTAAGGGTAGGGTAGGTATTTTCACTGAGCCTTTTGTCCCGGGTAGTATCAGGAGTCGTGGTCTAGGGTTGAAAGTTTGAAGGCTTCCCTGTTGCCTGCTTCCTTAATCCCTTTCCCCGAGTCGTGGTGTAGGGTTGAAGATGGAGGGCTTCCCTAACTTCCCTGACCCCTTCTCCAAAGGTAGCCCCAAGAACCGTGATTTGGGTTTTAAGGCTGTAACCCTAAGTTCCCTAACCCATTGCCCTGGCCAGCCTCACGAATCGAGGGCTTCAACCCTAAAGCCCTAATCCCTTTCTCCTGCTGGGAGGTAGTCCCTACATTCCCTAGCCTTGTCTCTAAAAGATGCAAGAACTGTGGATTCGGTACTGGCGATTTGGTAGCTTTTTTTTACACCCCCTGCAGGCTCCCTGGCTTGTGGGCACATGTTCAGGAAACCTGGGATGTACGGATGAGCACTGCGATTTTAGGATACGTCACCGGTTGGTTGGGGGTTCGAAAGCATTTTTTTGGTGTCCCGACTTGATGTTTGAACCCTGAGGTCCTCGAGGCTAAGGCTTCTTAGGGCTTTGCAAGATTTCAGGTTGGATGATCAGAGATTTGAAGTTCGACATAAGTCTACGGCTGGGGTATTATAGATGCTTCCGGTAGAGACTGGTGGAGCGAGATGCTCGTCGTCTGACATCGCATGCCTCTGCAGCCCGAGCATCACCACGCAGATGAGTGGCTACTTCTATCACCGATGAGGCTACTCTGATTATGAGCCTCAGCACTCTGCACTGAGCCCTCTGGGACCTGAGTGAGAGGGACTCCGTCTTATCGAGTGTGCAGCTCTCAGTCTGCAGGACAACATGCACTGAGTGTGCAGGAAGACATACAGCGACTCACAGCGCCGAGATCGCCGTGGTCTTCAATCCTTACTCCTGGACCTTTCAGCCCCAGAAACTCGCCACCCAGCCTTTCTGTAGGTAGACCCACCGATGTCCTAGGCCTTTCCGATTTGTAGTTGACCCAAAGTGCCCAAACCGTAGCTGTGTTTTGGCTTAACCTGCGAGATGTAATAATTGCACAAGGTACAGGGTTCTCATTGCGTTTTGCGTGTCCTGTGGGTTGATTGCGGGGCAGCAGTTGAGGGCTCGTGACCTCGTGCTGTATTTCCCGAAGTTTACTTGCAAGTTTTCGGTTCTGAAGCTGGTAGGACCTTCTGAAGGAAAGGCAGGCATGTAGGCGTACATGGGTTTTGGGATCATAAAAGCCATGCTCTGCATAATTTCGTATCGTTCGAGGTTTACAGTTTATTACGGCACAGATACGATAGGGATGGGGGACTTGGTTAGGGATGCCGAACTTGCTTGGAGTTGTTCTTGGAGTCCGTGGGTTGCATGCGCTTAGATTTGGTGAGATAAGATTTTACGCTAAAGTTAGGCTGCAGTGTTGAGGGCTTTGGTAATCTATGGAGATGACGAGCAGGCTTGTGAGAAGCACAACCTGCCCCCAGCGCTGACCGCGAACATTGATCGGTGCCATTACAACATTCCGACGCCAGTGCAGAAGCGCTTCGAATTGCAACAAATTGACGGTTGGGATCTTCGGGTGTATGCCGCGTCGCATGTAGTTACACTTACTTAATCGTACATACACATCCGCTTTCATACAAACTTTCTTCACCATTCAATGTGGCATGACTAAACCGCTACCGAAGGACATGCGCAGTCTGTGACACAAGGCACGCCAGTAAGTAAGCAATAAGTACTTTGCACGTTGGGGGGAGCTTCGGCTCTGGGACACCAGTCATGGACACGGTGCACAGGCCCGCAACCAACAACACGCAGTCATGATGGTCTCAAGACAACCGGCATGGCAGATGTAGCCCACGATCTGCCAGCTACTCTCATCGACAAAAATCCCGAGACTGAAACACACAGCCCGAAAATCTGCACCTCCCCGCAAGTCTTAAGCCTCCCTGTCCGTTTGGAGCTTTGCCACTGCCCTAGCAACCGAAGACAAAGCATGGTTCCGAAGTTCCTGCATTCAGTCTACCCAAGTGACTGCAAGTGTTTAAGTTACAGCAGGCATACACAATGAAGTATGCATGTTTACACGTTTCCGACTTTGCTACTTCCTGTACAAGCGCCGAAGTTTGAAGTATACATAGACATGGTAGTATGTACTGATACCTTGATATGTATACTTCGGAGCTTCAGGGTTGATGAAGCTCTCGAACCGTAGATCCCAAGTTGGATCTTGGCCCATACCATTACAAGCCGGAGCTCGAAAGCTGGGGAGCCTCTGATCTGGGGTTTTTGAAGTGTTCACTGTCGCCCGATTACCCCAAACTTGGAGCTCCAGAGCCGAAGTCTGAATTACCCTAACCGCGAGTCCCAAAACAGAGATCTAGCTGAGACAATACTGGAATTGTAAGGGCATCGTCTAGACTGCCGAGGCACAGCATCCCGGCCGTCCTGTCGGGCAGTGACGTGCTGGTCACGGCACAGACGGGGAGCCCTTTGGACGAAGCGTTGTGGTCTGGGATGTCGGCTGGGAGGGTGTGTAGTTCTTGAAGGCCGGGATTCAGTGCGCACCCTCGGCTCAGCGTTGTTTCACGTTTCTGGCGGACACTGGGATGTAGTATGATTCGCTCCAAGGTTTGAGACTGTCGGGTCTTGCGCTCTGCGCTTTCAGGATTTGGGGCATGCAGTGGTCTGCAGGTTAAAAACAGGGTTTTGCGTCCACAGTACGATACATGATTTGCCGTGCGCCTTCAGCGTTTATTGATATATGCGTTGTGCTTCGGCTCTATGCGCAGTTCAATGTAGAGGCTACGGTTTAGCAACAGTTTTGTGGTCTGAAACGGTTGAGCAATATTTTGGTCTGCAGTAGGTCGGCCGGGTTCCCGGTCCACGGAAGCACGGGTGTCATGGTAGTTCTAAGGAGTGTGGGCCCAGGATGGGATGCACAAATCGCATTTGCCCCTCAACACTTCGAGATTGCGAAACAGGTCCCCCCCCCCCCACTTGTCGGGCAGAAAAACCCCAGGCCCGGTAGCCGTACCCAGCAAGCACCCCCCTCCCCCCAAATCAAAGGCCCCCGTAATATTGGGAAGCTCCGGATCTCAGCTCAGGCGGCAAGACCGCCGCTTTCTTGGTGCCCATCATCACCGCGGCATTGAACGCAGGCAGGAAGCCGATGAAGGCCGGGTTTAGGGTTTAGGGTTGAGGGTTGAGGGTTTAGGGTGGAGGGTTGAGGGTTTAGGGTTGAGGGTTTGGGGTTTAGGGTTGTAGACTCACTGGGATGTTACAGGGATTCAGGGCTCGTTCTTCGCGCTGCGATCCGGCGGCTACCTTGTTGTTGATGTTGTGCAGAGGAGAGCTCTGATGACTACGGTCCCATAAAGAGGGCCCCAGTACTTTGGAACAAGCTCATGCGAAGCAGGATGACAGGTGTGAGTAATTATGATCTTCCGGAACATGCAATAGGCGGCGAATTTGAGTTTTGAATTTTGAGGCCTGCGAGTACGAGAGCACCACAGCCCAAGAATTCAGTCAACATCTGCTGAACATGGACCTGACCCAAGCACCGAACTCCAAGCGGACTCCTGCTACAGCCGGCCCTGAATCAGGAGGGTGCCGTGTGCCCCACCAGCGTGGTGCTGTCTCCTACGCGTGAGCTCTGCCAGCCGCTAGGCTGCATGGCGAGAGCCTTGACCTGAAGTTCTGCTCCCAATATGTTATATATCATAATAATATATTATAAATTACAATATGTTATATATTATATTATATCGGCTCACCGACCCCAAAAGGGAGAGTTTATTCGCGGGCGCCGAGACCTTTCCTTGGGGAACTTCGACCTTGGAGGGTTTCTCTGAGATGTTTCACACTGACTGACCTTCTTTTGGGCTGGACACAGCTGTTCTTTCAAGCGTCAGGTCCAGGTTGGGATTTCTGGCATCAGGGAGATGTAGGGGTTCAGATTCGGGGTTTGGCGAGTTTTGGGGCCCTTCGAGGGGAAGTAGAACACAAGGTTTTGGGATTCGATGGAAGCATGCGTGGAAGGTCCACCGAAACCTGCGAACTCAGGTGGAAACTTTAGAGCCTTGCACTGACTGCATCTCCAAGCTCGCATTCACAAGCTCTTTTCATGAGATGTATGTATGAAGCTAGTGTATGTGTTCTGTATGACAGACTTGCTACGGGTAATTGCGCGCATGCATTGGGTCTATATATATATATATATAATAATAATAATATATATATATATATATATACTCGTATAGGTTGATATCACATCTACATCTACACATACACAATGATTCGCCACCTGTCCGAGGCAGATCACAGTGGAAGCCGAGAGGCCCACAGATGTGAGGGCTTCAGGTTCTCAGAGCTTTCTCTCTGTACTTACAGTCAGTACGATATGCTACAATATACTATAACATTCTATAACTAATCAATAATGTAGTATACTGTAGTATGAGACACCTTATGCCTCCTACCCTAGCTTTGGGGTACCGGCATTGTGGTTGGAGCTCGAAGGGGCTTTGAATTGACGGGTAGCCCTGCACTGGTTATGTTGCCGATGATGATGATGATGATAATGATGGTGATGATGATGATGATGAATGTCATGATGATGGAAACGGCGAAGGAGACCGTGACGTCGATGACGTCGGTGTATGACGCTGGCAATAGTCATTTTGAAGATGGTGCGGATGGCTAAGACGATAAGTAAGCTATGATCGTTGTGGTCATTCTACTGTGATCATGGTGATGTCTGCGGCGGTGCTGCTGCTGTCGCGCGGCGATGGTGCGGCTTTGTGGTAGTGTTACGGTCAGGTCAGTGCCGTGAACTTTGCCGGTTTTAGTCATTTTCGCGTGCAGGGCAGTTCCATGCTTCTGACAGAGGCTTTTTGGCTTCAGGCTTTGGGCCGCAATTGTTGCACGCGATGCGGTCGGGGATGGAACTTGTAGGGTTGAGTTGTTGAGGTCAGTTTTCGTGTTCGAAGTGGTTGGGATCTCGCAATGGATCTTGCCGTCGCGTTGCTCGGTGTGGTTTGAGGTGGGTATGGAGAGGATGAGGATCACGATGATGTCATAGGGGTCCTTAGGGGGGTTAGGGGGAACGTGGTGGGGGGGTATACTTCCTTAACTAGGCCTTGTTAGGTCCCTATTTAGGCCCCCCACTCCCCCGCCTCCCCCCTAAGGTTCCTTATCATGATGGGGATCATGGGGTTGTTGATGATGATCACGATGATGATGACGAGGATGATGATGGTGAAGATGATTGTGATGATGATGATGATCATCATCGTCATCATGGTGATAGAGGTGGAAGTAGTTGATGTGGTGGTGCTGGCGGCGGCGGCGGTGGTGCTGGCAGCTTTGGCGCTGGTAATACTGATCGCGAGAATGCCCATGATGCTGATCATAGTGGTAATTGCAAGGTTGTTGCCGCCCTGCTGCATGATGGCGACTGCTGTAGCTGGCACTTCCGGTACACCACAAAGCCAGAAAGGCTCTGAACCATGTTAGAGACATTCCCGAGACATTGCATCGCGGAGGCTGACTTTCCGGTCTGGTGCTCGCGTCTGCGCAATCTACGGAGGCTTTCGGTTGTTGTTGTGTTTTTGTAGTTTGGGGCTTGGGATCTTCAATAGTCCCAGCTTTGTCCAAGCTTTTTCAAACATTGGTCTGGCGACAGGGCCTTTCAAGAGATTTCGCCAATCTACCATAAGCAATGCAAGCTGCATGTTGCAACATGGCACCTTTTGACATGCATTTACGGGGCGCACGCCTTGCGTTTTCTACGCTCTGCGTCGCGGTTTTTGTGGTGTTTCTGAGACATATAGGTCGTATAGACGGTCCAGAAGTTGATCTCCTGGGTTTGTGGTAGGCTGGGTTTCATAAGGTCCTGTAGTTTTGGCTTTACGTTGTGTGGTTAGTTAGAAAGCTCGTTGAAGGCAAGGTTGAGGTTCTGAGTGGAGTTTGCAGGAGGATTTCAGGATGGGTCTCCATTTCGACAGCTTTGCTACTCCCTCGCTATATCGGAGGAGATATCCACCCTACGTCGTCTAAGCTGCACAGGAGACCCGGACCCTAAGCCAAGGCCAACAAATCTGACCTCCGTCTCCCCGAAGCTCCCGTCCTTTCAACTCCTCAGGAGCTGATGCCATCCCACAGTTGCGGACCATCGCAGGAGGCAAGGAGCTTAGTTTTGAGCGATTCGGGGTCGCGCGGCTGAGGTCTGAGATTCCATAGCAAGAGACTGGAATCTCAACATCCTCAGAATAATTTTGCGAACTGATGCTCCGGTATCGGTTACACTTGTATGGAATGCTTTTAGACGTAAATATGTTGAGTGCGCTGATTGCTCATTTTGTGTGTTTCGGGTTTTGATGACCGCAGACTCGTTGAGGCGTGGAGATCGTCGTGTGCAGCAGGGCCGCAAGAAGCCGGTGAGCAGAAACGACTGCAATATCCGGGCCTGAATGATTACCTATATGATTTTCGGGGGTTCCTTATTATAGTTATAGTATAATACGCCTCAAAACCTTATTCTAATTATATCGACCCCTATAGTAGGCTTTGGATTGAGGTTGCCAGTGGCTGGGGAACTGTGTGGCTGCTGCGTGAAGGTTGCTGGTTCATGTACATAGCTGTCGTGTGGCAGTTCTACTGGCTCTGTTTTCGAACTGGGGCATTCAGCTGTCGGAGGCTGCATAACGGTGTACTGAGCTTGCTATTTTTTACGGTCTTCCATGACTTATGGACCCCTGCTCCCAAACTCCCCACACCCAGGCCGTGGACACAGAAGATGTGTCTTTTAGCATTTGATGTGGCTTTGGCTTCTTCTAGCAACAATAGCAGCCCAACATCAGAACTGCGCTGCAGCTTTGTGATCACCGGTCTTGGGCTGCAGTGGTATGTTGCGGCCTATTCTGAGTTCAGGGGGGCTCCCTACACTGACAGGCAACTTACAGGGTAGCGGATCTCCAGGCCCGTTGAATGTGGTAATTCTCAGGATTAACAGATGAACCGTACCTTGAGCCTGTCGATGTGATGTCCTTTTTGACGACGCCTGAACTTCCCAGCTGCACCCACGAAGTGCAGTGTAGAGATCTGCATGGTTGGTTGTCGTATTCCGCCTACGCAGAGTCCCTGTAAAACTATACTTCAATATATCCCGAAGCTACATTCTGAAGATCAAGGCCCTTGTATAATTTAGGGCCTTGTCGCCTTATGCTGTTCCAAGGCACTCCTGGCCGCCTGGAGGACACCAGTCCCGAACCGGAAAACCGCCAGCAGCTGACAGGCTTCTTTTGGGGCTTCCTTGTAAGTGTTCCTCCGATAAGGGTTCTAGGAGCCGCTGACAGGGATAACAGTAATCGCTTCAAAGAGGCTGAGAGCCCTCGCCCCTGATCCGATTCTCGGTCTCAGATTCAGGGCTGGCTGATGTTTTCGCATTTAGGCGTGCGATGTGGGTTCACTACATCCGACCCCGATAGAAACACCCTTTGGACCCTTGAACAACTTCCACAAACTCTGGAAACCGCAACAGCTCCTAACACCCTGAAGCTGGGTAGCAGACTTGGAGAAGGACTTTCTCCAGCGTGGCGTGATCTCGATGGAGGACACGACCGTTAGGTTTCAACAAGAGGGTTCGTTTTCATCGTTTTAAAAAGCGAGGCCGTAAAGGCGGGGGAAACTTGCTCGGAAAGCCGAACGTAGGGCACGGAAATTGGTGGGGCTCCCATATCATGCCGTCGAAGAGCCGCCTGGAATTCGAGCATGAAAGTGTGAAATTGGGGATTGCAGTTCTGGCGCCGTGTCTCAGTGTAATTCTGAATCATCAGCTGAATCCTCGGGGTGTATGACGTCTTCTTGCAAAGCATGAGAATGGCTGGCTATGGTTCCTCATTCCTCCTTGGGCTTGATGCCTGTATTCCCTTGCAGCAAGTCTGCCCGCTGCATTCCATTGTGGCATTACCCCCTCAGCCTGAAGCCGTAGCTGCCGCAGCTCGTGGAGCCAATGCTCTTTCCACCATGAGGAAGTCAAGTTCCTGGCCTTGGATGAAGCCGACCGCATGCTGGACATGGGCCACTGGGCTGCAGTGCAAGCGATTTGGCCGGATGGCATCGGGCTCAAGTCGAGACGTGGCCTCTCACTTTGCCTGTACCCGTTTCCGAAAATAGGGGACCCTAATATAGTTCCCTGAATAGTAGGATCCCTATGATAAGGACCCCAAAATAAGGTACCCTAATTTTCTGAAACTCCCATATTGGTGCTTTAGAAGAGTTCGGCTCCCGACAAATCCATTCCTGGTTTTGCACATGACATGTGAGGCTTCGAGCCCCAGATCCGTGAGATCATCGAGAATCACGGCATGCCCCAAGCTGGCAAGGGCCGTCAGACAATGCTTCCCGGCACCAACTCGGAAAGCTGCGAGGGCAGAACTCGGAAATATTGCTGGTGTTTCTGTCGTTGTGCCCCGAGTGTAACGTGTTTTGCACGCTACTCAGTAGCAAATGCTACTACGATCGGCAGGGGTGGTAGGAGCAGGAGACGGAGGAGCAACAGTATCACTGGCAGCACTTTCCAGCTACTGCCACTGATGCTGTTCTTGACATATCACCATGATGATACCTAACTTAAGTTGATGCTGACGGTTCATGGCCAGTAGAGTTGATGCTGCCGTGTGGGGATGCAGCCATGCCTAGCACGGCGGAAGAGCAACGATCCACGACCACCCAGGATGTTCTCTGCCACCTTCCCCAAGGAGATCCAGGAGCAACTTCGCACGCGGGCGTTTGGGTGTGGGCAGCTTGCAGGTTCATGGCTCGGGGTTGCCGGTTCGGGGTTTAAGTTTGAGGGGGTTTCGAGGTTTCCAGAAGTTTCGGGAGTTGCGGTATCGGGGCATCATCGGTCCGTTATCACTGTTGCGTTTAGGCTGTTGTCGCAAGGGATACGGAGCACATGCCGTGCAGTAGAGTGTTATTGTCTGCGCCATCCTACACCAGGGTGAAGTTGTAGATGGCTGAGCACCTTTTCCTGCAACAGAAAAGCTTATGCTCAGGTGCCGGAGCTTATTCGAAACCCATGATCCCTGAGGTCGCCATCAGCCAAGTAGTCAGTACGAGCGTCTGGAACTCCGAAACTTGACACTCTGATGTCGAAAACTGCAGCACTGCAGTTGAGAAACGAGCCAGTAAGAACCCACTATAACGGTTTCGGGTTTCAGGTTTGTGGCTTTTGAGGGGCGTTAGTTAGGCTTCCCTCGTAGCCCCACAAGCCGCAAGCCAGCACTGAATCCTTTGCCTCCGGAGCCGCAGGAGCTGGCGATGGACTTCCTCGATCGGAGCTACTACTCCATCTCCGTAGGCTTGGGCCCCTTCTTGGATGGATTCGGTCTCGGAGATGAGCAGCTTAGGGTCGCGGCCGGTATCCTTGAGTTAAGAGACAAACACGGGGTCGTTGGATCAGAAGTCTGCAAGCCGCATTCCTGAATGCTCTCCTTGTGAATTTATCCCAATCCTAGAGCCTGCAGATTGGGGCTAACGCGGCTAGGACTGCAAGCTCGCTCACCAATCATCCGAGTATAGGATAGGGCTTGAATTTTGGGTTGGGGTCTAGGATTTCCCTTACAGGAGGAATGCGCTGTGAGTCTCCTTGACCTGCTTGATAGCGAGGCCGTGTTGGAGCCACTGCTGCCAATGTCGAGCAGCGGTTTGAGAACGTTGGCTGGGGCTGCTCTGCCAAAGATTAGGCTCTGTTGTAACCCTAAACCCTAAACCCTAAAAACTAAACCCTAAACCCTAAACCTTTGACCGCACGGGTCCAGGTCAGGATCACGGGTTCCCTTCGCTCCCGGCACTGAGACCTCTGTTGGATGCAAAGTGGCGAGAAGTCAGACGCCAAATGTGACACTCCTTGCAAGATAAGTCTTGTTTTGCGGACTGTGCTGCTAACAGAAAAAATGCTAGGCATAATACCTATGTAGACTAGACAATATCGATTTTACGGGGACTTTCCTATCTGTCGGCCGCAGTAAAACTGACTCCGCCACCTTGCCCCAACCCCCCTAGACCTAAAGCTTCATTCGGCTTGCCGGTGCAGGCTGCAGACTAGTAGGCCTCAGGGTTTTGACTCGGCCAAAGGCGACAAGTTCGAGCAGCTGCTGGAGTCTTTGAAGGAGGCTCTCTCGGTGCTCAGGATGTTTTGAATAAGTTTCGTCGCCGGACATACCTGGGTTTCGGGGTCCTTCTATTTCTCCGCTCCACGACGTCGGCTTGGGCACTTGCGTGGCGTTGGGGAGCCGGGTTGATGTCGCGACACTCTACACGCCAGGTGAAATCAGCAGATGGTGCCCCTGCCAAGACCATCGTCTTCGCCAACTCGAAGAGAGAGGCCTGTGCTGGCTTCGGGATAGAATCTGCAGTCCAACGCAGCTACTGGGTTTACAGCTGTTGGAGGTTCGCGCCTTCAGGACGTAGGTTATGTTCCGACGTCAACCCTGGCCGTCAGTTGACAGCTGTGTGGTAAAGAGGGTTGAAGTTTAAGAGCTCTTTCGCAGCTTTTAGCTTCCGTACTTGCAGTGTTTCTCAGGTGCATGGAATCTACTGTGGGTTGGGGCTCGGTGAGTGGGACATAGGACAGAGCGTTGCACGCTGCACGATGCACGCCGTCGCCAGCAGGAGCCTTGCTTGTGACTACTTCGAGTTCTTCTGCTTGATGTGACTTGCAATGAAGATATGCCCACCTGCCTGAGTCCAACAACCCGCAACTCTGCAATACTTCCCCCCTTGCTGTCCCGGCCATGGCTGCCTTAGCGTGGCTGCTGATTTCCTTGGCCGCTGGGGTGGCTGACGCGCGACACCTGCGCGGCCTCAGCGAGCACAATGCGCGAAAGCTCAGTGGCGTGCGCGGCCTCCTCTTCGGCACCGACTTCGAGAACTCTTGGAACTTCGAGTCCGTCGCCAAAGCCGCCAGCACGGCCTTCAAGACCTTCGAAGAATTAGAAGGCAATGAAGGAGGAGCACCGGCAGCCTCCATTGACACCACGGCGAGTGGTGCTCACCTGGTGCAGGAGCTCCTTTCCAATAAGGAGCTGACTGAGCAGATAGTGCTCAGGCCCAAGCAGAACGGCCTGGTACAGTCGGGCCGCCTTTTTGGAATCAAGATGATGGACGCCCACGTTGGGAAGGAGACGCACGTGTCCACCGAGGCTGGCCTCTTGACGTTTCATGTCCAGAACCTCTCGGTGGAGGTGGAGTGCCAGTATGATTTGCGGCTATCGAGCTTCGGATACAAGGAGACGGGCAAGGTGAGGGCCCGATTGTTCGGCGACTCCATGCTGCTGAACTTCCCCGTCGCGGGCTCCGGGCCCGGAGGGTGCCACTTTGGCAAAGGCCTAGACCTAGAGGCTGGGTCGATTCAAACGTGTCTAGGAAACAAACGGTTTGAGCCATGGTTCGGGTTTCATGTGTGGCACTCCGGGAGTTGGCGCAAGCCTGGTTTAAATATGTTTAAACGCCCTCGTTGACATGTTTAATGGTTTCAGTCTCTCAGTGCAACCACACTGTTTAAACAAATACAGCAAACATCCACAAGCCGCTAGCCTTGAAACGTCGATGCGCAAGACCACCCCCGCCCCTCCCTGTCTTGAGGTCCTGAACGCAACGAGCGAGCACGATTCGCTCAAAGTGGCAATCACAGACATTTTGTCCAACAATATGTTGGACCTCCGCACGGAAATCGTGCAGGAGATGGAGAGCGGCTTATGCCGAAATCTGCTCGAGCCTCGTGCTCACCAGCCGAATTTCATGCACAAGCCGCTCGGTGAAGGGGAGTCGATGAGGCCCCTGGTGCTTGGAACGACTTTCCTGTTCTTCGCATTGTTAGTTG